GCCAACCGTATGTGCGAGTTCTAGTTGAACTAAATTTGTTGACCAAAATAAGCAAAACCTCTATTTTCACATAATAATAAAATAACTTACTCTCTTAGCTTCCATTTTTTCGACTTGGATTTCTTCTTTGTTTTGGGTGTTCTCCAACAATCAGCAAAATACTTCACCAAGTGTAAAGATGGTGAAGATGTAGATGATCTACTAACTCCCATTAATTCATTATATAATTCATCATCGTTCGACTCAATATCATTGTTTTCCTTCTGATTCAGTATATCTAAATTATTTTTTATAATTTGCTGTTTAAACGATCAGAAAAGTTACCTAAATCTAATATTAACATCAGAATATTAATATAATAATAAATTTTTTACCTTACACCGATAAACTGTAGCTAGAAATTTAAGAAAGGTTTTGATTCCTTCTGCTAAAAACTTGCTATCTAAATAGTATACTTGGGGATCTTTACGAAAAATTGTGATTAGCCCCGCTCTATTCAATCCTAACCAGCCATTTATTGTTAGATCTTATTCGCTCCTATTTATAAACTGACTGAACATGAAAAGGGTATTCGCGACTTATATTTTTGTGGGCATATTTTGGCAAAATGCCCAGTTTTCCAACAGCTTAAACAACCCTGCCGGTATTCTTCTGGGATCAAAAAACAATCTTCTACAAAATGCCCTACATTATGGCTCCGGCACGCCATAATCTTGCAAACTGAATTCGTAATCCAAGATGCAATATTCCAAAGAATGGAGATATGGTGCAGTTACGATCTTACGAAGTTCTTCTAAAGATTTTGCTCTATACCGAGCCAGTTCACTAGCAATTTCTTGTGGAAGTGAAGGAACGCTTAATCGATCAAAAATTAATTCTTCCCATTCAATTTCACTAAATAATGTCTTATATTTTCATCTCCGTAGTTTACAATATAAGAATGCGCGTGTCTAATGTATCAAAATTAATATTGATATAAGTTCCAAGAAACGGGAGGTTAAAATCAAATCAAAAAAAAAAAAGTTTCAAGAAGCTTACTCTTCATATTCCTTATCCTTAACGTAATTAAAAAGGACATCTTCAACCATCCTTCCTGATTTCAACCGCATCTTGGTATTGTCTGGAATCGTATTATGTGCTTCACAAAATGCCGATTTGTCAATTTTTGGAGGCGACTTATCACATTCGCCTTCGTCTTCATCTGCTTCATAGTCAGACTTAAAAAAAATTAAAAAAAAAGATTTGAAATATATAAAAAATGAACTAATTAAGAACTCTATTATTAATCTACTGTACCTCAAATGATTCATCCTCGTCACTTACAACCTTTTCAAAGAGCTGGGATTGACTTTCGGGTGGACTTTGGAAAAAATTATTAATTTCATCGTCCTATAGAAATAAAAAGTTAGTTTCTAAATATAATATCGTTACATTTTCAGAAACATATACTTACGTTGTACACAGCTGTTCTATGATTTTCTTTATCTTCTTCCGCCGTGAATTTAAAATTATTTTGGATTTGAGTCATCTTCCTTTTTCTTGTCTAAGATCAGTATAGCAATAGCTTTTTTTAGTAATAATATACAGCATAGCATTTAAAATATTATAGTTTTATACACTTACTTTTGCATATTCAGTTGTTTTTTTCATTAAAATACCGTCAATAACTTTCAAATATTCGGTTTTCTATTTAAGAGTAAACCTATTAAATTAGGCTAAATTACTACCATGGCACATTAAAAATAAAAATGTAAACATACAACTATGTTTTTGCGAAGATTATTGACGTATTGCGCAACATTAACATCAATGTTTTTGATAGTTGCAATTTCAAAGAGGCTCCGGAAGTATTGATCAAACACTTGCTTTGCAGTTACTGTTGGGTCTTTCTCATATGCGAACTTGGTAAAAACTTCAATATTATTCCACCACAATAAGATGGTTTTAGAGAAAAAAGTACTGATCCCAGTATGAGGTTTACAAAGGTTTACATTCAACCTAAAATTATCAACTTTGGCCATCTGTTATTTGCAAAAAAAAAAAAAAACAATAATATCAATAAACCGGCCAAACAGGCTTATTATATTTGACTCTTAATCGTCACTCCATCTGGGGGTCAGGTTAATCGCTCGCAATCATATGGTTAGGTAATCTCTGCTATGACCCTTGCCTCCCTTTTGCGTTGAACAATCAGGAAGAGTGGTAATCTTCTGCAACATCCGAACGACACCCTCCCAGAAGTTGACCTTTCCGCAGTCTTTTCTCTTACATGTGTGTTGAACACAGAAGATTTGCACGTAAACCCTGGAGCATTACAATCCAGCATCCAATCTGTCTAATGACATCAAGCTGTCTAACCAAGTAGACCACCCTTCGTGTTAAACTACCGGGTAGTGCCTGGTGGTGCCCATGCAACAAAAAAAGATGCGTGTATACAAACATTAAGAATACTTAACTTCTATAACAAAAAAACACGTTCTACTCAAAATCTTTAAAACTTTTAGGTCTCTAACAAAATGATATGTAAACAATGGTGCAAATATTTTATATACTGTATTCTCTATCTAAGATTTCATCAAAATTTTATCTTACATGATTCTGCCAATCAAACTACGATAATAAATACAGTGAAGTCACAAGGGTGCTTATTCATCGATTTACTTATTTGCGCGGGTAACACAAACCAAAAAAGGAATCAAATTTTGTAAATAAACCAAGTGCGTAAAAAAAATATATAAGTTTAGGATTAAGGCGTTAGGGTTGTGAGCTTTAGCGATAAGTTGGAGTTTTTTATATCATCCCCGTTATTTTTATTATGTGAAAATAGAGGTTTTGCTTATTTTGGTCAACAAATTTAGTTCAACTAGAACTCGCACATACGGTTGGC